CTGAGACCTACTAGCCTGAGGCAGGGCCAATTTTTTTTCCCTCTAACACAACCATTAATCTACTGCCAAAAGAGCATGGGACATTTTCTTAATAGTTGCATCTTCACAAATTGTGTACAGCGGTGAATATGTAAAGGGCAGTTGGGGCTTATTAGAATGAGGCACAGTGGTCATTTATTAAAAGCAGTAGATAGGCATTTATCAACAAACACACCAATACTTTTTCAGAAGCAGAAATAATGTTGAAGATCACTGAGTAGCTTTCAGAAGAAAATTTTTGTTTTGTACCAGCTATTCTGGGTGATCTGGCCTCACCCCTACAGAGCTTGCTAGAAACAGGGAGCTTTATGATGTGAAAATTTTAAGTACCTAGGGAAGAAAGAGTCATGTAAATATATGTAATAAACTTGTAACATGTCAAGTTTTCTTGGCCTTTATCCTATGAAATTGACTATTTTAAATACAAATTTGATAAATGTAAGACCATGAACTGTTTTTATACCACGGTCACCAGTTGATTTTAAAGACTGCCCTTGTGTTTAAGTGCCCGTCTGTGTAATTGATTTGACTGTACATGAAACTTCAGAGTAAATCTTATTCTAATAAGCTTTATAAGTTTTCCTATTTTTGAGAGACATAAAATGCAGCATAAGACTCCTGTTCCCCCATCTTTTAAACTCAAAGATTTATTATGGTTTCACCAACCCTAATATGACTGAAGATAAAGTAGGACCCAGGGGACTATTTAGACAAAATGATGTGATGTCTTTTATATAACACCCCATTTTACCAACTTTAAGGGCAAATACTTGTACTATAGTTAACCCAAATAGCAAATTACTTTTCATTGTTTATAAGCAAAATAGCTGTTCTATTTCTTCAAGTTAAGTTCAGATGAGATACTGGCCAAATTAAACACTGATTAGCCTAAAGGACAAATTTGTATAGAACTTAAAGCACACGATCTTAATTTGGAACATGAAATAAAATTTTCCCTCCTCAAGAAAAATATTTTATTTTTATGTGTATACATGTATTGCCTGCATGTGTGTAAGTGTACCCGTGTCGTGCAATGCCCTTGGAGAGCAGAAGAGGGCGTTGAATCCCCTGGAACTAGAGTTATGGATGGTTGTTAGCCACCACGTGGGTGCTGGGATTCAAACCGAGGTCCTCTACAAGAACAGTGTTCTTAACAGCTAAGCCATCTCTCCAGCCCCCAAGGCCAGTTTCTTTACTTGACTCTTTTTTGGGGGCAGGGGGCAGATAGGGTCTTACTATGTAGCTCTGGCTGAGCCTAAAATAGACTATGTAGACCAGGCCGACCTCAAACTCACAGAGATCCTCCTGCCTCTCCCTCTGCCTCCCAAGTGCTGGGATTAAAGGCATGCACCACCACACTCAGCTTTACTTGACTTTTTAAACCCCATCTGTAGCACAATGACTAACATATCCCAGACACTCACACGTCTATTTAATAATAGCTAATATGGGGCTGGGCATGTGCCTATAGTCCTAGCACCTGGGATGCAGAGGCAGAGGAAATCACTTGAACCCAAGAGTTTAAGACTAGCCTGGGCAAACATAGTGGGATTCTGTATCAAAAGCAAACAAAAAATAATAGCTAATACTTAAGGAGTACCTAAGCAGACACTTTCTAAACATGTGCATATATTAACTCTCAACAATCCTAGAGGTAAGAACTCTTATCACCCCATCTCCAGATGAGGAAGCTGTGACACAACATAGTTATAATTTGCTCAAGGTCATTCAGTTAAGGCTGAAGGGAGACAACACAAATGACAACATTACAACTAAACACATATGAGTCGTTCCCCCTTGTTAAAACTGAGAGGTTTAAGACACTGCAACAGCTAGGACCTCCACTGGATCATAAAATATGAAAAAAACCTTTCCTCTCTTCTATTTTGTAATACTTTCCCTTGCCTCTCTTAGGAAGTGTTCAAAGCCTTTAACTCATTACTTCTGAGTCCTTTGGCAGAGAAAAAGAACTCTAGAGACTGAGGGGTCTCATCCCTGCAGCTGCGTGAAATGATGTGGGCAACAGAGGAAGAACTGAATCATAGAAACTTCTTTAACTACTGGGTTTTCTTTGTACAAGCCAAGCGATCTATCAGTCAATCACTTGATTGAAAAATGTTAGAGTTCTATTTCATCTAAATCTGCACCACTATATAGCCCAGGCTGACCTGGAACTCAAAATCCCATCTCAGCTTCCTGAGTGCTGGGGTTGCAGGTACATGCTGTCATGCCTCATTCCATCTGCTTTTTTTCCTCCTTTCTTTTATTCTGAGAGGGGAGGAGAGTGTGACACAGGGCTTTGCTATGTAGACTGGGTTGTCCCAGAATTCCCTATGGAGACCAGGCTGATCTCAAACTTACAGTGACTCTCCTGATGGTGATCCTGACTTTGGCTCCAGTGCTGGGGTTATAAGCATGCACCACCAAGCCTAGCCTTCTCGCTACTTTTTACTTGTAAAATATCGAGGACATTATATGTTCTACACCCTGACCTGAATGAATATAAAATTAAGAGTTTTATTTTGGGTTCTTCCCAGTCTTCTGTGGTTCAAAGTGAAATAAAAAACTTTGGTAATATGTTACCATAAATGTATATAGAGATATAAAAATTATTTTTTACTATTGTTGCCATCTTTTTAGTGCAGCAATTTCAAATTTATAGTTAGTCTCCAATATTCAGTTGCCCAAATATAACACTGTACTAAACCTAGAAGGGCATTTCCATTCTGAAATGAAGAAAACATTTAGAAGTTTGCTAGAGTAAGAACTGCATGCTCCCTTTCTTCACACTCCAAGTTCTTGTTAATCAGAAACTAACATTCACAAAAGAAAGTTGAGACAGTCTCTGAATGACTTTGACCTTACAAAGAAGCTCTCTCCTGTCAAGGGAGAGAACAAGAGCTGGCTGCCTTTTAAGTATGGTTCTACTTTAGTGATTACTGAAAAACTGGGAAGATTGTATCCCTCAAATAGGCACAGAAAGAGTTACCTCATCTTCCTTGGTACAGCCTCATCCCCCAAATATAAAACCCTCCACACTGATCAGGAAGCACTGTATGGAACAAAATCAAACTGCTCCCAATCCTGTCATCTGCGCCCCCCTGGGTTTTACTGAGGTGGACACATTCCAAAGAGTGAAGAGAGTTAAGTATACAAAAATTAGATCATGATGCAGTAAACCAGAAAAGCCAATTGAGCAAAATACAAAGGTATATTCATATTTCTTAGGTTGGCTTTTAAAGAAAACATAAGTTAATCAAGATGCTTAAAAATTTGAAAATCTCCATTTCTCTAAGGTAAGTCTAGTTTTTAAAGGGGTAACTCTGAAATAGTTGCTTTAAGATAAGAGCAGCGGCTACCAGGCATGGTGGCACACTCCTTTAGTCCCAGCGCCTGGGAGACAGAGGCAGGCAGACCTCTGTGAGATCGAGGCCAGCCTAGTCTACATATCGAGTTCAGGCCAGCTGAGGCTACAGTAAGACCCTGTCTCAAAAATAAATAATAAATAAATAAATAAATAAATAAATAAATATAAGAGCAGCACTAGAGGACGTTTCAAGATAAGCTCTGGGAGAACCTTCTGATGGGCACAGCACAGTTAGGTGCACCTTGGCGTCCTCTCTGAAACCCACCTCTTCACCAGTTGTTATCTGATAGCTCCAAAAGTCAGTTCCCCACACAAGTTCATCTGTAGAACAGCATATCTCCCAATATGTGAAAACCACAACTTCAGAAAAGGTTCTAATCACCTTAGTTCCCTTTGTCCCTAGGAAAAACAAGGTTTTAAAGAAAATTTTTTTGTGTGTATGTGCATGTGCAAAAAAGCCACAGTGCATGTGTGGAGGTCAGTGGACAACTTTCGCGTCTGTTTTCTCTTTCCACCCTGGGGATCCCGGGGATAAAATTCAGGTCACTAGGATTAGCAGCAGGTGCCTTTACATGCTGAGCTTCTTGCTGTTCTAAAATAAGAACTTTCTAAATTGTTACCCCTAGCAATAGAAGTTTCATTTAGGACTCTATCGGTTCATTTCTAGTCACCACTTTTGATGTCTCAAATTTAAGATATTAGACCTTTGGGGATACAGGGTCCTCCACACGAATTGCCTCAAGACTAAATTTGTTACCAGCATCTAAACCCATGTTTCTGAAAGTGTGTTAGTAGACCACCTGCATCAGAATCCCAGCCATTTTTTAGTTACACCATCAGAATCTCTGAAGCAGAGCCCGAGACAAGGCATTTTTAATACACTTCTGAGGTTATTTTAATCCACATTTCACCTTGAGAATTACTAAATAAAACACGGACATATCTGCTGTTGTCCCCCAAATATCTATCTATATGGAATGTTAGTGGCTTCTTTCTATCCTACTTCCTAGTAAGACAGTAAACTTGCCAGTTCCCCCCAACAGTAGTTTAAGAATAAACAAATACTAAAGACCTTGCAGGACTTAAAAAGCTCTGGGACCTCTTCCTTAACTTCTTCACCATAAGCACAAGTAAATTCTATCGGCAATTAATTCCTGGCACCCATCAGATATATGATCTCCTTTGCCGACTCCCAATCCTATTTAGAGGGCATTCCATCGTCACAGGGCTGTCTCATGTTTGGCACATAAGCATTTTACACATTTACACACGCACACACAAATCCCACTGCAGTCCCAAGGCTCCAGTGATCTGCGTCGCCTCCACACCTGAACTGGGAAGGACTCGGCCCCCAAACTGCGACCCCCCCCAACTCAAAGAAACTTTGCCCACCCTCCGCCTAGCCTTGCCCGCTGGGTCTCCGGTCCTGATTCCCTTCCCGAGTGTCCTCGCACCTCCTCCGGGATCCCCGAGGCCCAGCCCCCGGGCCGCCCCGCAGCCCACTCCCATTCGCCGCCTCTTCGCGGTTGTTTTGCTGGCAGAGGTGCGGCCCAGTCTCCAATTTTCCTCTCTCCCTCGGGCCTGTCCTTCTTACCCGCCGGCAGCGGGGATTCGGCGACATCGCCGGCAGGGCCAAGCTCCGCTGCACCGCCACCCGCGAGGGAGGAGGGCCAGCTGTGGCTATGGGAGCACTTGATGTCGCGGAAGAACTTCTGGGTCTCGCGAAGATTCTGCCGCAACCGACCCAGGTAGCGGCGGTAGCGGCCGAAGCCCCGGCACAGCTCGCGGATCATTCCGCCGCCTCCCGGGCCGGGTCCCGAGACGGACTCGCCGCCCCACGGCAACTCGCCGGCCTCCATCGCTCAGCCCGCTGTCTTCGCGGCTCGGTGCACCGCTGGCCCGGCCCCCTCCTCCCGCCCCTTGGTGCGCAACGCTGGCTAATCCGCCTCCCGATGCCCCCGCCTGTGCTTCGGTCCTCCTGCCCCTGTCACTGCCTTGACAAACAAGCCCGGGCGCCGGGCGCTGGCCGGAACCTTTTTCGGCTCTGCAGCGGCGCCAGGGAAGGCTCACGGAGGCGCTATGGTTGCGCAGACTCCTGGGACTTGTAGTCTGATCTGGCCAGAATGCAGGGCTGTTCACTGGGAAGCGGAGGAGCAGAACTCATCCTCTTTGGATGGAAATTCACCCTTCCATGTGCTTACACTCTGTTGAAAAATGTGTTCTTGGGTTGGAGAGATGGCTCAGTAGTTAAGAGCGTTGCTGTTGCAGAGGACCTGTGTTTGATTCCCAGCAACCACATGGTGGCTAACAACCAACCATCTGTTAACTCCAGTTCCAGGGGATCTGATACCCTTTTCTGACCTCCACGGGCGTTGACGATACGGGTGCGCTTAAGCACAAGCAGGCGACACACTAATACACAGAAAATTTAAAAAAAATTAAAATGTGTTCTTGCTCTGTACACGATTCCCTGAGGAAAGGGAGGAAATCCAGGCACCAGCGGAAGTGGAGCTCCTTCTTCAAAGAAAACGATTTCAGTAACCAAAGGAAGGAAATAAGACGGAGGCCAGTACTATTTATGGGTACCCCAAATGGCTCTCACTTTCTGGACACAACAGATGATACTAGAGGATGAATTAAAAATAATCTGGGAATAGTGAAATGTCCCGTTGTGTTGCAGTCTGCTTTTCCTGTCCCAGACGTGGGAAGAGGGTTTCAAAAGGGTAGATAAGACCTAAAGGAAAGGGCAGTTGGTTTCTTGAAGTAGAGAAAGACGGCTGGGTATGGGGAAGTTGAGGTTAGAAGCCTTCCTTCTAAACCTTTCTGATTATCTTAACTAAGATTCTGCCAACATACAAAACTCTCATTAGCACAGATCACACGACAAAATCATGAAGGGGACAAAACTCGACGCTAGTCACCTCTTTTCCTACTTTTTCTCCCTGTTTCAAGCACAGGGTCCATCCCCTACATCTCCCCCCCCCACCCCCGCGTTTCTTTCTCAAGATCTAGCCACATTGCCTCCAACTCACACTCACGATCCTGCCTCAGCCTCCAGAGTGCTGGGACTGCAAACCTCCACCACAACGTCCAATCCACCTGTCTTTCTTGTGTGGAAAGACCTCATTTTACCCAGACCATACCTATTCGAGAGACTCAATGATGTAGTTCCTCGACTGAATTTAAGGGGAGATTTGAGTTTGAGTCTGGATGAACGCGCACGGGCACAGACACACACTCACAGGCTTTGGCCTGTTTTATCAACTATAAGGTAAGTTTGGACTAGTTCATCTTTAAGTCCTTTCAGCTCTGTGAAGCTACCTTCAAAAATTCACCTCCCCATCTCAGATGGTAGGTACCTTGAGTAACTAGGACTCTTAACTAAATGATGTCGTGATATTTAGATTAATTTAATATGAAATGTGAAGGCTTTAACCGGAACTTCTGTAGCACTTTAAAAAAGTTCATTTCAGAGCTGGAGAAATAGCTCAGCGGTTAAGAACACTGACTGCTCTTGCAGAGGACCTGGGTTCAATTCCCAGCACCTACATGGCAGCTACAAACTGTCCTTAACTCCAGTTCCAGGGGAATCCAAAGCCCTCTTCTGGTTAAGAACTGCTCTTTCAGAAGACCTGGTTTCAAATCTCAGAACCCACATGACAGCTACCACTGTCTACAACTCCAGTAGGGAATTGAATGCCTTCTTTTGAATTTTGTAGGTATTGCTCAATATGAGCATACATGTTGGCAATTAACGCTCATATACATAAAATAAAAATAATAATAAATAAAATATTTTTTTAAGTTCATTTCAGATGAACCTGTACTTAAGAGCCCATAAATGTGGTACAGGCTGGCTGTAAGGAGGAGCCTCATGTTCCTTCCCGTTTACTCCCTCTTTTATGCATGGTCTCCACTGGCCATTCCTCTCCTTTGCAAGGTTGTACCCCCGCCCATGCATTACCCAAAAGGCATAGTAAAACAGAAATGAAAATACAAGATGGGAATTTTAAGAAAGATGGCGATAGTGTTCTTTTTTAAAAAAAACAATATTTATTATTTTTATTTTATGTGTATGTGTGTATTGCCTACATGTAGGTAAGTGCACCCGTGTCGTGCAAGTCCATGGAGGTCAGAGGAGGCCTTCAGATTTCCTGGAACTGGAGTTAAGGACAGTTTGTAGCCGCCATGTGGGTGCTGGGAATCGAACCCAGGTCCTCTGCAAGAGCAGTCAGTGCTCTTAACCACTGAGCAATCTCTCCAGCCCCAGTGATAATGTTCTTAAAAATAGAACCATCTTGAGGCCCTGCGTGGTAGCCCACGCCTTTAATCCCAGCACTTGGGAGGCAGAGGCAGGTGGATCTCTGTGAGTTCGAGGCCAGCCTGGTCTACACAGCAAGTTCCAGGCCAGTTGGGATTACAGGGAGACCCTGTGAACCATCTTTTCTTAAAATGTAATTTTTTTCTAATTTTTTTTCATTTTTTTAATTATTTAATAACCACATGATTAGAAGAAGCATTTCATTACAGCTTTAACATATTCAATAACAATTTCCAGAGCAAAGATATATCTCTTTCAAAAGTGGCTGCAAATTTTTAGGTTCATATTTGAATTAATACAGTTATACAATATTTAACTCAATATAAACCCTATAAGACATAAAATTGAATGAGGTTTTAACTTTTAAAAAAAGATTTCCGCCGGGCGTGGTGGCGCATGCCTTTAATCCTAGCACTCGGGAGGCAGAGGCAGGCGGATCTCTGTGAGTTCAAGGCCAGCCTGGTCCACATAGTGAGTTCCAGGATAGCTGGGGCTAAAAGGAGACACCGGCTCAAAAAAAAAAAAAAAAAAAAAAAGTTTTTCTGAGGGAAACAGTATCTTTTAAATGAAATGGAAATCTTTTTTTTTTTTTTTTGTCTTTTTGAAGCAGGGTCTCCCTGTAGCCCCAGCTGTCCTGGAACTGACTATGTAGACCAGGCTGGCCTTGAACTCACAGAGGTATGCCTGCCTCTGCCTCCCAAGTGCTGGGACTACAGGCATGTGCCACCACACCTGGCTCTGAAAACATTTTAATGCTACTAATGCTTAGATGTTTGTACATGTGTCTCTAATCTTTTTTTTATTTGTTGATTTTTTGTGTGTGTATATCATACAGAACATCCCAAACAATCTTATTCATCTATATACCCAGTTCCCAAATGGTACCCTCCCATAGCCTCCTTCCACCCTGACTGGAGCCCATATACTCTGCCTTCCCTGTTACTGTCCACTGTGTTGTTGGCATCCCCAGCCGTTCCCCAGTGCTTGTTCATCTGCTGAATCTAGTCAGCCTATCTAGAGAGCCTTGTTTTAGGAAGATCAGCTCTTCCTCAATCCACTGAATCTAGTCAGCCTATCTAGAGTTTCTTGTTTCAGGAGGATCAGCCCTTCCTCATCCAGCAGCAATCAGTTGTCAGTATTCCTTTAGATAAGATTGGGGTGTGCTGTTCATTTTCCCAGTTCTATGCTGGGTTACTGTCTGGGAGTCTCTTGAGCCACCCTGGCCAACAACTCAAAGGAAGGTATCTCCTGTCTGGCATTGTTTCTTGTTATGTAGCCTTTAGGCGTACACATGGACTCTTAAAAAATTATATTGACCCCTTTAATCTTTGGTTATACTTTCCTTTTGGGTGTTTAAGACCATACAGTTTGGCCCAGATAAACCAATTCCCTTGGTAGGTGCTCATTAGATTTTTGTTAGAAGTGTTTATTATGGACATTTCTAAATATTCAAGAAATCAAGAAGGAATAAAAACCACTCTGATTTTTACTATTGAGAAAGAACCAGTAAGTTATGTCTATATATTTGGGGTTATTTGTTTGTGGTGCTAGGGATTGAGCCTGGGGCTTCACACATGCTAAGCATTCACTCTACCACTAAGCTATATCCCTGGCCCTCTTTTTACTTTTTATTTTGACATAGGGTCTCACTAAGTTGTCTAGGCTGGCCTTGAACTCACTCTGTAGTTCAGACAAGCCTTGATCTTGCAATCCTTTTGTGTCAGCATCTGAGTGGCTGAAATTACCAGCATATGCCTCCAAATCAGGCTGTTTGTTTTTTGAGGCAGGGTTTCACTACATAGCCAAGGCTGATCTTGAACTTGCAATCTTGTTGTCTTAGTCTTGTCTCAGTCTCCTGAGTGCTGGAATTACAGGGGTGTACCACAATGCCTGACTGATAATGTCTTTTTTTTCCTGAGATAGGGTCTCATGTAGCCCAGGCTGGCCTCAAACTCAGTATGTAACCCAAGGATGCCTTTGAACTCCTGATGCTCTTGTCTCCACCTTCCAAATGCTAGGATTACAGTTGTGCACCGCCACATTTGTCTTGTTGTTGTTGTTGTTGTTGTTGTTTTGAGACAGAATCTCACTCAGGCCTTGAACTCCTGACCCCAAATGCTGAGACTTTAGGCATGTGCTATTACACTTAGTTTAGAAATCTGTCTTTCTTTGTTTTTCTGATTCAAGTTCTTACTTAGGTGATATGTAAAGACTTGATCTTCCTATTTGTATAGATAGAAATCTGGTGATTTTGTAGAATACCATAATATTTAATTCTTTCATGTGAATTAAGTTTACTATTGGGCATGGTAGCACACTCCCTTAATCCCAGCACTGGGGAGGCAGAGGCAGAATGCCAGCCTGATCTACATACTGAGTTTCAGGTTAGCTGGGGTTATAGAGAAGACCGTGTCTCAAAAACAAAACAAAATTTACTAATAAAAAAGCGTGACTATTCTATATTAAGCAACATAAAATCAAAAATCTAAGAATTTCAAAGATTCACAAATTGAACTAAAAATACAATTACACACTGAATTTTTCAGAGGCATTTCTTTAATATTTGCTCAATTGTCATCTTCTAAGTTACTATCAGGTAAATGAAACTGGGCTGTGCTAAAGAAAGAAAAAATTAGCTTGGGTGGTGGTGCCACTCAGGAGACTGAGGCAGGTGAATCACTATGGGCTTGAGGCTAGCCTGATCTACATAGCAAGTTCCAGGCTAGCTCGGGATATAGGAAGACCGTTTCTCAGAAAAAAAGTAAAAATTATGGGAAAAAAGGATGAGAAACCATAATTCATTAACTTGATTTTTCCTACAAAATGGGAAAAGATTGCTGGTATCAAAATTATTTTTTAACTTTATTGTGTGTGTATGTGTGTAATGTGGGCA